AGCGTGACGCTGGTGACGCTGGGAACGCTAGATCGATATGCATCCTCTCCCCAGGCACTGCCGCTGGCGTACGCTGGAAGCGCTACGCTACGCTGCCGCAAAGTATAAACGCAGCCTTATGCGCACCCGCCCCTCCTCCCCCCACTCATCGACGCCGTTTTTTTTTTGGAAAAGCTGAGAAGTTTTCAAAGTAAAAAACTCGGAAAATAGTAGGAAGGTGGAACATGTTGGGAAGGATGGTAGGTGGGATAACGGACGGGTCTTGAGAAAATTTCTAGGGTAAGGAGACTATTCAAATCCTTTTCGCCCTGGTCTCGGGAGCTCGAAGGTTAAAACATTAAATGCTGTCGAGTGGTTTTGAACTGTGCTCACTTCACTTTCATTTAAACTCGTTCTGGCTTTGCATATGATATGAACTACACAGCGCTTTGAGGGAGGTAGTCATTTTGAAGGTCAGCGTTTTCATCTTCCACACAAGCCTGCTACAAATTAGCTTGCCCCATAGGAATGATATGGGGGCTCTCGGTTGCCTGGACCAAACGAGAGTCCCCCCCCTAAATATAAATACACGTAGTAAGTGCACAAATCACTTTCATCCTACCGAACCGATAAATCCATCACTTTATTACATGACATTCTTGGATACAGTACCTGATATCGTCCCGTTGATTGAGAAAAAGTATGTTGACACAGTTGGAAATACAGTTTGACCTGTTCCTGGTTTTTCTTTGCTGCATTTTTGCTATTTTGGCACAACCCACTGGCTTAAAAAAGTATGACACACCGACACACAGATGACTAAGCTCACATTCTAGAGAATTTGTTGCGAATCCCAAATTTTCATGAATTTTTTCCAACCTCGCTTTTTCAGATCTACCCTTCGCACAGGGAACTAACTACTCACAGACGCGCATACATGGGCTGCACCGCCCCTTCAATCGCGCCCCTTTTGCTTATTTTTGCGAACTTCGATCTTTTCCACTTTTTTATAGTGCTGGGCTTTTATGGAGTATCACTGGCGCCATCATAAATTTTCGAACATAACACAATAGCTATAAGATTTTTCTCGGCATCAGAGAACCCAATAGTTCAGGGGATTGGCTTCCTGTGCCTCCGAGATTGATATAGATGCTTTTTGTAGCTAACGTCAGCAAACTGACCTTTTCTTTGGAGCCTACAAGTCGAGGCTTTATCATCGAACCCACTCACCCAACAACCATTCTTCACCACGGTAAGAAATCACAGGCCAGAAGATCTAGATCGAAGTCGTGAAACCACTAAACCTTTTGGAAATTTCGTGAAGTGCGTTATATTGGAAATACGCAGTTCAGCAATATGTTGACCCATTATCTTACTTGTCCCTTAGTCGATCCTTTTTCATTTAGCGCCATCCATCTAGCGTTATGGAACTGTCGTCAGTCCATTGCCTAAAAAGAAAAGTCAAGATTCCTGTAAACAGTAGGGGGTATGACGGGTGAGGTAAATTGGCAGCCAGTGCGGCCATTTCCACCAAATATTGTCATAGTCCTCCACTAATGGTAGGAAAGACTGTTCTGGGTTTTCTCCAATTCACGATCCCAGCTCACAGCCCCGCTTTGCGGGTTCGGGAGTCATGGCTGTACGCTGTCAGGGTCGCTGACACTTTTCGTATAAGGGACGATAGCGCTTGCCAAACAATATTGCAGAATTTTAGTCCCCCTATTTTTCCTCGGTACAACTACTTCCACAGGGTGCTAACCTCTTAACTACGGAAGCTTCACCAAAGTTACCCAACACTGTGTGGGCCGAGCGAGGGGTATGATAGTAGAATCTGGCTCGCTGAAGGCTCTGTCACAGTGGTACGGTTTCTGGCGCAGCACCAGGCCCAGCTTTTCCACACCCAGCTAAGGGCCGGCTGCCACCCTGCCACTACGCAGTGGGAAAGATGATCAGGGTTGGGGCGGAATCAAAGGGCTCGCTTTGTTACGCTTGGGGCGCCGTTACCTACTGCGGACCCTATGACGTCCCTATCTCAGTTATTGCCGAGGCAGCAGACACACGACCTGTGGGGTGCGCAGTTGACAAATGTGAAACACATATCTGCGGGAACAACACTTTCGTCGAAAGGTGGTGATCGATGGAAGAATCCCCCCTCCTTTTCAGCAGACCAAGTACGCACCCTCTCTGGTGTTCCAGTAGCGAAGCGGCACTGTTTGTGCAACAGGTAGCAGAGCTCGAAGATCATGGCATCAGAAAAAGTATTGGGCTGTGAACATTAACCACGTTCGGGTTCACATTTGTGGTAAAAAACTGGCCGTTTTCAGAAAAATCGAACAATTGAATTGTTCTTACCATCCCACCAAAATAGCCCGGTTGAAAGCAGCAATTCTGCCCTTATGGTGAATGAGAACAGAAACTGCTTATGTTGATGAAAGTTGAAGGGAGAGGGAGAGCTAGCGAATAATTACGGCAATTACTCATCAGTTCTCTCATTCTTCAATAAGGGGGCGTAATATAATTTGTTCCTCATTACTTGCCTCATGTTCGTTCGTTTGTTTAGGTTTTCTTGTGCTGGTTTGGCTAAGAGAATTGCCTAGAATTCTCTAGATAACCGAGCTTGCGGAGAAGCTTATTCATTCGATCAGTGCTGTTGCAAGTGACATCAGCAACTTATGGACGTCAAAGCCACATTTACTATACGTATCTTAGCTTCATTGGTTATTTTGGTGCCTGTCCTATGTGGTTTTGTATTGCAAGCACTGCTAGGAATTGCGCTCTATTCAGTACGTTCACTCACTGTGTTCTTATTAGTTATTATGGAAGGGAAAAAATTGCCTTCGTAGGGATGGAAAACGTTCAAATTGAATAGTTTCTATCTGATTACACTACAGCTGATGTGGTGTGATGTTTGTGCTCTCACGCTGGATCTATTTTTCGCATTCCCACTGACACTAACTGGAGTACAGGTTAGAAGGGATTATTCAGTGAATTCTTATATTTTATAGCGCAAGAGAAACTACACTGCGTACCAAAAGTATAGTTCCACCCATAAATCTCACAATATCCCCCCCTACACGACGTTTCCAAAAAAGCCTTCAGATAAAAAACGTGGTAATTACCGTGCCAGTTTGCATGCCAACATCGAGAACTAACTTTCCAGAGTAACTTCAATTTTCTTCATTTTTTGAAAATTTCTCACTTTGTCAATGTCCCAAAATATAGTTCCACCGCATATTTTCCCACAACGTCTCATTTTTTTCGGGTAAAACTGTCTCATCATCATCATTACTTTCACCTTCCGGTATATGATGACAGGACATTCTTTGTCAGACTTTGGAAAAGGATTATCGTAAAGAAGGCTCAAGGACTGTCGAAGCGTCAAATCGTAAGGGAGTTGGGCCGCAGTCATCACGTTATCAATAACTTTGTCAGGGAACCCGCACGATATGGAATCAAAAAGAGCTCTGGGCGTCCTCTGCTCTCTGATCGAAAAAAGCACTTAGAGAGAAGCATCGAATTGCACACACGTTGGTGTGCCTGAAAATAAAGTCAACTTCGAGGCTTAACGTCTCGAAGGAGACTGTTCGGCGTGTTTTGAAAAACTCCTGAGTTCACCTACAGGAGGAATATGAGTTGGGCACTGTTTTTAAACAAAAACCATCGCGAAAACTTGATTGGCTTCGCTCGAAGATGTTGCCGAACCGATTGGAGTGGGTAGCTTTTGGATGCGGTGCCCTGCTGCTTGTCTGTGTTGCTTTTTTGAGTTTTTTTTTCTCGCGGTCGTGTTCGTTGACGAGAGAAAAGTCAACTGCAAGCGCTCAGGCAAAACCGATTCCGCTGGCACGACCTGAGGGAAGACAAGTTTCATTTTTCCGGGTGGAACTTCAGTGGATGTGATCTCATGGTCTGGGGTGCCATCGCATCAATGGAACGTCTGAAACTGTGCTCCGTATGGAAAAAAAATGATTTCTTCCGTCTATCAAAAAGTCATGCAACGACGTCTCTTTCTTTTCTGTTCTAGTGTAGAAATCAGCAAGAAAGTCCTGTTTTCATGCAAGAAAATGCACCAATTCATGTCAGCCGAAACACTCGAGCGTGGTTCAGTCGTCATCAAATCGCTCTTTTGCCCTGGCCAGCGAAATATCCAGACGTCAAACCCCAATCGCGGATCTGTGGGGCTTCATGGTTAACGCCGATCTAGAGAACAATGCACCAATTCCACAATTTCGTGAGTATCAAGAGTTAGTTGATGATGCATGGCAGCATGCGACCGAAAAACTGTTTGACCTCTATTCAAGATTACAACTGCCATTTTCTTAACTTATTTCAAGGGACATGGGCTGCAATAGACCATAGCCCTAACAATTCATCCATTTTGTGGCACACCTGTTGTTTTATGAATCGATTTGTTTAGTGGAACTGTATTTTGGGACATTGTCAAACCGTGAGAAATTTCCAAAAATAAATGAAAATTGAAAGGTACGCTTCTGAAGGACAGTTCTCGGTTTGATGCCGAATTGGCATGGCTGGTAACTACTTTTTTTTATCTGAAGCTTTTTCGAACATATCGTGTAGGCTAGGATATTGCGAGATTTATGGGGAACTATGCTTTTGGTACGCAGTGTAGTAAGCTATCAACGTCATTAATATACAGGATGCGCCATAAGTAATAGCGCGTGCAGATTCTCTCCCACCTCTTTTTATTCTTTTCGCTTTGCTTACCTTTGTACTCGGATACGCATCTTTCATGAGGTTCTCACCGCTAGTTTCCGGAAAGCGGGCAAGCTTCATTCACCTCGCATCACCACTTCATGAATGATCGCTTCTGGTAGGTTTATGGCCGTCATAACTCGTCGCTTTGAAGGCAGTTGGCAATAATTTGGTACATGGCCTAAAATGCTATGAGGGTATAGTGGGAAAAATGGCGAAAAACGAAGTGAAATCGGTCAAAAACCTGCGATGAAAAGCCTTCCTTCATTATTGTTAATGACTCAAAAAATTTCGTACAGTTTTCCCCTTGGCATCGTGCCAATAACCGCTACGGTAGGTACGGCTACATGTACACACTCACATATCCATGCAAAACCACACTCATTCATATAAATCCCTTCGCTTCATAATTTACTTCGCAAATGAAGCAGTACGAGCGTCAGGTACGGTCGTCCATTTGTGGGCGGCGGGCGCGGTGGGCGTTCGGGTCGGTATGTTGTAGCTTGATAGGGCCTTATAAGGGTACTCCCTTTGGAAGAAGCGCTATGCATCGCCCACACAGGGTCGCGGAATTCCGTCCTGCCAGGCACTTTAGCCTCACTTATCTTAGGGATTTATCGTGCCAGCTGCCTTTAACGCTCACCCGAAGCCACCTGTTCTTCCGCCACTGTGTAGAGCATAACATAGTCAAAAGCAGATTCGACTTAAAGTCCTGAATTGAACATTAAGCGATATCAGGCTAAGCTGGAAATAACTGTTAATCTCATTTTCACTTGTACTACGTTGGGCTCTGTTGCTCTTGACTAGATACGACATTATCCTTCCCAGTTCCAGAAACGTTGCGAAGTTCCTCACAGGCAGCATCTCGAGAGAAAGGTGGCGTGTCGCACACTCTTGGTGAGCGGCGCGCACTTATCGCACCCATAACGAAAGAAAAGCTATTCAAGCAAAGGCCGAGAAGTTCAACTCATGGGACAGTTTCATGATTGCTAGCACGAGTCCAGAGACGGATCGGTTAGCAAATCAGAAACGCGGATGTCGTTAGCGCGTTTTCTCAAAGGAATGTGCCTCCAATGAAAACCTTGCTTATCCAGGGTCAAAGCAAAGACGCATTAGCTCGTCGAACGTTTCGCTAACGTGCCATAGCAATATCTCCCTTTTTGGCCAAGTGAAGCGTCAAAATCGGCCACAAGGGCCACATCTGGAGTGGTTGCGAAAAGATAGCTGCGTAGGAAAATTCAGTTCGCGAAATTGAACTGTTCCAAGGGATGAGCATGTTCCCAGGAAAGAGAAGAAAGGCAAGTGTGATGCTCCAGTCAGTGTTTCCGAAATCACCTGTCATTCTGATCTGCTGGCAAGTCATCATACATCAACCTTACGAATTTGTGCCCACCTCTGTACCATAGAAGGAAACCTGCTTGTTGAAATAAAGCATACTTGAAGCTGCCAAGAAGCCAAGCGAGAGGATCTGGGAGGAAATTCCTCAGAAAGCACTGTGTGCATCTGAAGCATTTCCAAACTGCATTTGCGTGCTGTAGATTCCCAAATGGGGCGATGCGCTGCTAGTTGTCTCTCTGTATCACAAATATTGCTTCACCATATTATTTATGGCGCACCGTATATAAGCTGTGACTTTGCGGCACGATGTCTTTCATCTTTCTCACTAGAATGGAATTACTGAGGGCAACCAGTCTTTTTCAGTACATGGGAGACAGTATGGCTCTTTACTACATACCGTTTGGTATTCGAAGGAATCGCTTATCAATGGCATATACAATCTCTCGCTACTTCTTACTGTCAATCGATTTCTACTATTCATTTTTCCAAGAGTACATAACGTAATTTTCACTACAAAAGGAACAAAGATGTGAGTTTTTCCAATCAACCGTGCTACCGTAGCGAAACGAACCAAACTTGCACAGAACTAAATCCTACATTAATATCAGCTCAGCAGCGAAGCAAACTAGATGAAGTCGTAGTGACGAATTTTTAACGGCATTCCTAGACATTTACTTTTTTTTGCACGTGGAAACATTGTCTGCTCAGATTGAGCGCTCCGATGTATCAGACAAACTTGAGTGATGGGCGTGAAGTCGTCGTTAGGACGGAATGAAGAAATAAATTGCCGTAGGGCAGCCACTTTGGCATTGGACCTATTTCCAAAGCTATTAAGGCTCTGGAACCGACATGGGACTGTGGAGCTTATTGAAAAAAGTGAAATTGAAAAATCACCCAAACAAAACCAATCTCTTGTTTGAAAAGGCTAAAACTTATTCATAACCATCACCGACTGTTTCCGCTGCCCTACCCATTCATGATCATTACAAGTGCCAGCAGAACTTTACTTCATCTAAAAGAGCACGTGATACGTTTCCGCAGCGAAGGGAGCCTTGTTGATTGCTGAAGGGATAGTGTAGTATTTGCTTCTATGAAAAACCCTCTCGGCTGTGAATTTTTCTCGGTTTTTCCCGATAGACGAACATTATATGCATCAGCCCTCCACTCCTCAACGGTGGTTTTTTTTGGGAAAGGCTGAGGAGTTTGCAAAGAAAAAAGCGCAGAAAGAAGTGGTAGGAAGGTGGAACATCGAAAGTTCAACAGGGAGCAATTTTGAGGACCTGTTCCATGGCGGACAATTCATTTGTGGCGTCCCTAAGGGATGTTCAAGGTACATTGGTCAGAAGACCTTTAGAAGTAATGAGACCATCGAATATTGGCTGACGCTGTTCCGAACAGGAGACACGGGCCCAAAGTAAGAGTTAGGAGGGTCAAGTGAAGGGAGGAGGGGCGAGACTAGGCTGGTACATACTTCATGATTCCATCTCCAACTAACAAGGTCGGCTAATCCTAGTTGTCACATCAAAGTCCTATAAGAAAAGAACTATAAGAAAAGAATTACAAAAAGTGCATGAGAGCTCAAATGAGTAAATGATAAAGTCTTTGCCACTGATCAATCCCTTTTTGGGATGCGGCACGCACTCTCAGCATGGGGATGTGCGAAATGGCGGTGTGAGTACGACCCCCCCCCTCCTCGAAGAGGGTCCAGATACGACCCCCTCCTGCTCTAACTGACAACCAGATGCATGTTCACACCAAATGGCTTCCTGAAATGGAATCTGGATTTTCGAAAGGCGGACTCTGCTCTAAAATCCAGGCAATAATAGGCTAATTGTAGGCAATGCGAGGCTGTTGTTCAGCCTCATGCGCTATAACAGGAAATAATGAATAATGAAAAATAAAACTCGTCGTTCGACAACCATGTATGACATGCAACTTAACAAGGAACACAATCGAAACAGCGACTAATGGTGATCATTGATAAGCTAAATTGGTGAAAAAATAGCCCCAAGGTCAGTGTGTCAGGCCCCAGATGTGCATTCAATGAATGGTGACGGGGAAATCATGAAAACATGCACGACACAACAAAGCGAAACATGAAAAATACAAAAAAAATGCTAAATGAAAAAAGGATAACCAGGCGGCAGTACATCGTTCTATACTTGGCTATTACCGATCGCAACGTTGCGACCGCTTTCATTGGAAAAACGTCATTGGAGCGCGGTTGTTGGGCCTGCCAACGTCCTGGGGTCTTTTCGGGGGGGTTATATCTCTTTGAGGGGCGCGGCTTTTGATGAATGGTTAGCAGCATGCAACGGAAATGTTCCTACTGTTGCGTTTTCTACCCAGTTGCAATCTGAATGTTCCCCCGTGTGAAATATTTCGGATGGGTTTCGGATCGGCTAGGGGTAAATGGCAAGCGGGTTTTTATGCTTCACACGAGGATTACTTATTTCGAACGCAATTTCATCAGGATTAAAATCGTCTATCTTTTCTCTTTCCAATAAGCTTTACAGTTTTCCTGAAGACCCGCTAGTTCAGGAGATATTTTAGATGGGTCACAGACGCGCTACCCTCTGACCCACCCGAAAAATCGACTCCTTCTGTGCCATTGTGAGGATACACCTTCGGAAACTTCAGTGTGCCTTCAAAACACATATT